GGCAACTTCTCAAAATCACCAAAAATGGAGAATTCTATGCTTCCCTGACCCCCAGAATAATTGAATTAAGAGGTAATATTTTAAGAGATGTTTTTACTTTGCCTCTGATTTGTAAACAAAATCGACATAGTTTAACAATCTAGAAAATGTCTGTTACTAGATAACAAAATGGCATAGGGGTTACAAAAATTATGCAGATGCTACAATGATTGATACAATTTCAAGCGGTGAGAATACTACGTCTAACCAAAAATATATTAGTGAATACAAGTTGGATATTTTTGCTTGGCTTCTTGTTGTGTAACCGTATTAAACCATACCTTGATAATCTAGAAGATTGATTTTATCAGCATGATTCAGATGATGAATACCACGAGGATCTTGAAAAAATGGTGAATATCTTTTTTTTTAAGTGTAGTTTGCAAGGAGTGGCTGTCTTTGCATTTTGTAATGCTTGTAATTCTCAAGAGTAGTGAGCTGAAATATTACTTTGTAAAACTAAGAAATGGATTTCTGAGTTCAAAAGAAGAAGATTAAATCAGGTAATTTCTGATTTGTAGTGCTTGGGACTGGTTTGGAAGCGAATAGAATAGAATAGAATAGAATAGAATAGAATAGAATAGAATAGAATAGAATAGAATAGAATAGAATAGAATAGAATAGAATAGAATAGAATAGAATTTTTTATTGGCCAAGTGTGATTGGACACACAAGGAATTTGTCTTTGGTGCATAGGCTCTCAGTGTACATAAAAGAAAAGATACGTTCATCAGGAATCATAAGGTACAACACTTAATGATAGTCATAGGTTACAAATAAATTATATGTGGTTCCAATATTTACATGGGAATATACAAGATAATTTAGTGAACCCTACTGCAAATGCCTTTATTGTTCTTCAATTAATGGGTGAAAGTTGCCCATTATACTATTCATAAACCATGAATACCTACTTCATGCCAAATATAAACCACACAATGACTGGGTGCAAAATTTTTCTCTACCAGTTCTATGGGCATGGCTTGGTGGGCATGGCAGGAAAAGGATACTGCAAAATCCCCATTCCCACCCCATTCTGGGGCCAGCCAGAGGTGGTATTTGCCAGTTCTCCGAACTACTCAAAATTCCACTACCGGTTCTCCAGAACCTGTCAGAACCTGCTGGATTTCACCCCTGGTGCAATGTCACTTGCTATTTGTACTTTAATGAAAAGAAGGACTAGGGGAGATATGATAGCAGAGTTCCAATATCTCAGGGGCTGCCACAAAGAAGAAAGGGTTAACCTATTCTCCAAAGCATCTGAAGGCAGGACGATAAGCAAAGGATGGAAACTATAAAATTCTCTTATTTAGAATTATCATGTTTTTCCCCTTAGGAAACATTTTTTTTGCTAGATTTCTTTAATCAACTCACATTGGGGAAGTGAAAAGATCAGAATTATTTTCCTGTGTTGTTTCTAGGGACAATTCAGAAATGGAGAATTGGGTCCTAAAAGGTTGGGAGAATCTGAATAGCAATAGCGCTTATACTTATATATCACTTTGCAGGGCTTTTACAGCCCTCTCTAAGTGGTTTACAGAGTCAGAGTATTGCCTGCCCCCAACAATCTGGGTCCTCATTTTACTGACCTCGGAAGGATGGAAAAAGGCTGAGTCATCCTTGCGCCGGTTAGGATAGCACTCCTGGCAGGAAGCAGGGAATTCGCCTGCAATGCTGCATTTTAACCACTGGGCCACCACGGTTCTTATCTCTCTAGCTCAGGTGTCAGCAACCTGCAGCTCTGGAGCCCGCATGTGGCTCTTTCACCCCTCTGCTACGGCTCCCTGTCACTCAAAATGTATATCACAACCACCAATGTGCGACACCCGCTGGCACGCAATTTATTGAGCTTTTCAACCCCCGTTAGGCCAACCATGGTTAAATCCAAGAAAAGAAAAGTTTCAGAAGAAACAGAACATTTACTTCAACTACATATGCTAGTTTTGTGGCCGCTCAAGAAATAGTCAGGCACGGGAAGGGTTTTGTGGCTCCCGGTGTTTTCTTTTCTGTGGGAAACGGGTTCAAATGGCTCTCTGAGTGTTTAAGGTTGCAGACCTCTGCTCTTGCTTATTCGTTGCTATATAGGAGAAACAAATTATGAAAGTCTTTGTATAGCAATTGGGGGTGGGGGGAATCATGTCGTCTTCTTGATGGTTTTTTGCCACTTTCCCAATGATAATTGAGTTTTGCTTCCTGGAAAAAATGGTGTGTGACTGAGATCTTGTTGATCTTGTGGCTTGCACAAAGATGCTCCTCTGAAAGGAAATGTTCTCCTCCTGTCCCACAGTGCTTACAGGTCTTTAGAAATAAATGACAATTCTTCCCCAGGACAGTTTGCATTCATGCTGTCTACTTGGAAGCACCTGAAATAAAATGGAGGCTGGCCAAAGGAGAAATCACCTGAAACCAAGAAGAAGAAGAAAATGCTCTATTGTCAGTGTACTTAGAAAACTTTCATGAAAGAAAAAAAGATTCTCCATTCATTCAAAAGGTGAGTCCTGTAAGTGTTTGTAATTTTTTTAAAGCCAGGATATAAAGTATTCTAGGCAGAATGGAATGGAATGGAATGGAATGGAATGGAATGGAATGGAGTGGAGTGGAGGGGAGGGGAGGGGAGGGGAGGGGAGGGGAGGGAATGGAATGGAATGGAATGGAATAGAATAGAATAGAATAGAATAGAATAGAATAGAATAGAATAGAATAGAATAGAATAGAATAGAATAGAATAGAATTCTTTATCGGCCAAGTATGATTGAACACACAAGGAATTTGTCTTTGGGGTATATGCTCTCAGTGTACATAAGGAGAATAAAAATACATTCATCGAGAATCAAAAAATACGACACTTAGTGATAGTCAAGGTTACTGATAAGCTATCAAATCGTACTAGGAAACAAATAGAAACAATACAAATTGAAAGATACAAGCAACATAGTTATAGTCATAAGTGGGAAGAGATTGATACTAGGAAGGAAGAGAAGAATAATAGTAATACAGTCTTAGTAAATTATTTGACAGTGTTGTGGGAATTAGTTGTTAAGCAGTGTGGTGGCATTTGGGAAAAAACTGTCCTTGTGTCTAGTTGTTCTGGTGTGCAGTGTCCTATGGTGTCTTTTTGAGGGTAGAGAGTTGAAACAATGTATGTCCCGGGTGTGAGGGGTCTGTAGATATTTTCACGACCCTCTTTTTGACTCATGCAGTAGACAGATCCTCAATAAAAGAGGGGGAGTTTAAGAAATTGGAAGTAATTTTCCATTGAAGTCATTCAGAGTAAGGCTTTGATCTGTCTCCAGTCTTGGGGACCGGACACATTATGTGCTCTTACATACACATCTGGCTCCTGAGTATAAGAAGATGTGAGGACATCTGCAAATCATTTTTGTGATCAGAAGGGAGACAAGTCCTAATATTAAGTAGTCCTGGGTTACTGCTGGTTTAAAATGTTTAGGGGGATGGAGGCTAAAACATACCAAAAAAATAGTTACAGGAATTGGGTATGTCTAGTTTAATGAAAAGAAGGACCGGGGTGACATGATAGCACTGTTCCAATATTTGAGGGACTTACAAAAATGAGCTCCAAAACATCAAAAGGCAAGACAAGAAACAACTGTTGGAACCTAACCAAGGAGAGAAGCTACCTAGAACTAAGGAGAAATTTCCAAACGGTAAGAGCAATTAACCCATGGAACAGCTTGCCTTCAGAAGCTGTGGGTGTTCCATCCCTAGAAGCTTTCAAAAAGAGATTGGACAACAATTTGTCTGAAATGATTTAGGGTCTCCTGCTTAAACAAGGGGTTGGACTAGAAGACCTCTGAAGTCTTTTCAACTCTGTTATTTTATGTTCCATGAACCATTTTCCTTCTCGGATATGTTGTCCAAACAGGACAAGTGGATGAAGAGAAGGTTGACTTCTTCATGTTTTCAGTGTTGAGTGTTTTCAGTGTTCAATGTGACAGAGTGGCCCACCATAACTGGGGTCATTCTAGGAACCTCACCTTTTTCCTTCTTTTAATGTCTTTGCAGCTACAAAGAGGAGGTGAGGTGCTGTCTCTATGAAATTCCATGAGATAAGTAAAAACTCATTGAGGATGTCTTTGGATATGGAGCCATCTCCATAGCCACCTCCAAGTGAAGTATTTGGAGAAACGTGAGCAAAAGTGGGAAAAAAAACAGAACCATCATTCAGAAAAAGATCTTTGCTTGTTCACATCAATTAATTGTTTATTTTATTTATTTATTTTTATTTATTTATTTTTGTCAAGCATGTGTAAGATAACAGATATGAGTATAAACATGATTATAAATGCAGGAGAAGGATATGAATAAATGGGGACAGTAGGACAGGGATGGTAAGATCGTTTGTACGCTTAAGCATGCCCCTTACAGACCTCTTAGGAATGGGGTGAAGTCAACCTTAGACAATCTAAGGTTAAAGTTATCGGGGTTTGGGGATGAAACCACAGAGTCAGGTAGTGCATTCCAGGCATTGACCACTCTGTTGCTGAAGTTGTATTTTCTGCAATCGAGTTTGGAGTGGTTTACCTTAAGTTTGCAATTGTATGCTTGTGTATTCTTGAGGCTGAAGCTGAAATAGTCATTGACAGGTAGGACGTTGTAACAGATAGCTTAGGTCAGACCGAAGGCGACGTAATTCTAAATTGTCTAAGCCCAAAATTTCAAGCCTGGTGGAATAAGGTATTTTGTTGCAAGCAGAGGAGTGGAGGGTTAGGGTGTAGACAAGTTGAAACATGGAGGGAACTAGAGTGCCTACAAGAATTACTCAACTTTGAATAACTTATTTGAAGTATCTTGGTCTAATTCAAAACCATCAAGTTTTAACTTCTGTTTGTTTAATACAGCAAGTGAAAACTGATGAACCGATGCCCGTTTGAAATGTGTGATTCAAAGAAGAAGGGAGATCTGGAAATTGATGTCTTCACTCTATTTCTAGGAATGAACTGATGGCAAATAGGACCACAATAAAGGAATTCATACTGTTGGGGCTGACAGACGACCCTCGAATTGAAGTTGGCCTTTTTCTCCTCCTGCTTGGGATTTATCTTTTGACATTAATAGGAAACATGTTGATTATTATTATCACACTGCTGAATGCCCAACTCTACACCCCAATGTATTTCTTCCTACGACATGTGGCATGGGCAGACATAGGATCTCCAACTTCAGTAATTCCCAAAGCACTGGTCAACATAGCCACTGGGAGTAAAAGCATCTCTTTAGCTGGTTGCTTCATACAATTATTTCTTAATTTCGCCTTTGGAACCACCGAGTTCCTCCTAGTGGCCATAATGTCTGTTGATCGATACATAGCCATCTGTAATCCTCTTCACTACCCAACCATCATGAATACCCGAATTTGCTCATTGTTGGTCATTTGTTGCTGGGCTGGGGGGATATCGCTAATTCTACTTCCATCCATTCCTTTATTTCTAATGCCATTTTGTGGTCCTAACGTCATGAATCATTTCTTTTGTGACAATGGACCCCTAATGAAATTAGCCTGTGTCGACAGCAGCTTCCTAGAAATGACTTATTTTGTGGTTGCCATATTCTCTTTGCTTGGGACCTTAAGTGTCAACCTTGTGTCTTACGTCAAAATCATTTCCACCATTCTACGCATCCCATCGGCGACGGGGAGGAAGAAGACATTCTCCACTTGTGCTTCCCACATGACCGTGGTCACCATCGCTTACAGTACCTGTATTTTCCTGTATATGACACCAAAAGACACCAACGAATTCGTGTTCAACAAAATGATGACCCTGCTAAGTACGGTCGTGATTCCTTTTCTGGTCCCCATCATCTACTGTTTGAGGAACAAACAGGTGCAGGATGCTTTGACGGCTGAACTGAGACAATGGATTGGGTTTTGCAAGAGATTGAGATGATTGGGTATTGATATAGCTGTCAACTGGAGAGCGGAAGAGGAGGGGGTTGGAAGGAGGGGCCAGGTTGGCTGCAATTTGAGTCAGAAATGTCGGATTCTGCTATGCTTAAAAATAAAATGTTTCATTAGACAGCTTGCGCTTGAGAATGAAGTTTATTCAAGATAGCACCGAAACCTGACAGACAGCCAACCTCGCCCCTCCTTCCAACCCCCTCCTCTTCCGCTCTCCAGCCCCCACGTCCCATTGGCCATCATACAGATCCATCTCTACATCCCGGCACGTTCTTTTCACAGGAATGCAGCCCCCACCCTCGTCTCCCAGGAAACCCTATCTGTATATACAAAACTAGGTAAAAGTTCATCTCAGCAATAAATCAAGCTTCCGCTCTTTCTGCTTCAACTTGTTATGTCAGCGCTGGAAGAAAGCCTAATTTGGAACGCTGACACTGGGCCTGGTGGCTCAGCAGACTAAAAGCATTGTGATTAACACCAGCTGTCTGCAATTACTGTAAGTTCGAATCTCACCAGGCTCAAGATTGACTCAGCCTTCCATCCTTTCTATGGTAGGTAAAATGAGGACCCAGTTTGTGGGGGCAATAAGCTGACTTTGTATAAATATACAAAAGTATGAAGGCTATTGCTTAACGCATTGTAAGCCGCCCTGAGTCTCTGGAGAAGGGTGGCATATAAATCAAATTAAAAAAAAAAAGTTGGTGAATCCAGAAAAAGAAACTCCTGGGACATTATGTTACCAAGAGTATAAGCTTTACCGAATAAACCCCATTGGCACCGATGAAGCAAAACCAGTTCTGGATCTCCTCCTCAAAAGCAAGCATAGTTAATTCGCCCTTTCCTTATGGCCAGAAATCCATTACAGTAGTGGCCACCCACAGTCCATTACAGTAGTGGCCAAAATTGTGGAAACCATTTGGGAAAGTGTATTTTCTAAAACTAGCTAATAACACCACTTTTTTGGGGGGGAGAGTAGTACCATAAAATTATATATCAATGGAAATGTAATTTAATCAAGAATGCAATGCAATAACTTTTATGAAGAGTTTGCTATTAGAACAGCAGTTACAGTACAAAGAAGAAACGTGACGTATTAAAAAACAAGATATACAAACATTCTCACCATAGAAAAAAAGGAGATATACAAAAATTATCACCATGTCAGTTAATACTTAGTTGGATAACCTTTAGCATGAATTACAGCCTTACAACATCTTCCCATGGAGTGAACCAAGTCTTTTAGTTCTGCAGCTGTTCTAATGTGAAACCTTAGAGCCTTGGTAGTACAGGGGTTTAAGGCACCCTGTTATTAAGCTGGTTATTAAGACCAGCTGCCTGCAATTACTGCAGGGTTTGAATCTCGCCAAGGCTCAAGGTTGACTCAGCCTTTCATCCTTTCTAAGGTAGGTAAATTGAGGACCCAGTTGTGGGGGCAATAAGCTGACTTTGTATAAATATACAAAAAGGATGAAGGCTATTGCTGAGCACATTGTAAGGCGCCCTGAGTCTTCGGAGAAGGGCGGCATATAAATCAAATTAAAAAAAAAAAAAAAAAACCAAGATTGATTGAATGATTGCTTCTATTAACTGGGTTTTATTGCTGGGTCGCTTCTGACTAACAAGCTTCTTTAGTCGATGCCATAGATTTTCCATTGGGTTAAGGTCTGGGCTATTCCCAGGCCATTCCAGCAGTGGAATATGATTATCTTGAAACTCCCCCCCCCCCAAAAAAAAGTGGTGTTATTAGCCATCAAACCTCAAAAATACAACTTTTTCCCAAAAGGTTTCCACAATTTTGGCCACTACTGTAAATCCACCAATCACTTTTGCTCAATTTGTTAGGGGAACCTGCCGGCCACACTGGGACATCTGCTTGGTGTGTCCTTGAAATGGAAGCAATATCTCATGGAAATTGACGGATTCTTGGCAGCCATTCCCCCCTCCCTTGTTTCTATTCCAGTCCCTCCCTTTCATTGTCAAGCTGCAATTGAAGCAGGATATAGGTCAAAGTGTGAATCAGCCTTGACAATAGCACTGAAGAAGCAGGGGGCTGGACTACATCATGGACTGCCTCTCTCCAATTACATTTGCCCAGCCCATCCTCAGCAGAGAAGGTGTGTTGTGGCTGCCATTTGCCAGGAAATTACATTTGGCAAATCCCAGGAGGCAGATCTTCTTTGTCATGGGATCCATCTTGTGGAATCCTTTGCTCCATTCCCTCTCAACAGTCCACATGGTTATGATAATGTTACCAGGCATCGGTCCCCGACAGTGGTGGGTTCCTCCCGGTTTGGCCCAGTTCAGCCGAGCCCGTAGCAGTGATGATATGACGTCACCGAACTGGTTCTCTTTGTTTGGGAGCTGGGCCCTCCCGCCCACCCCCACATTATTCTTACCTTTTATTTCTTCTTTTTTAGCTCAGCTGATAGGTGTGGCAGAGTGGATTGCCGCACCTCAGCTGGGCAGATTCGTAATGCGCTTGCACGGAGCGCAAGTTTGGTGCACATGTTAGCAAAGCGAGTGCACAAAGAGGCGATCGCGCGTGAAGCGCGTGCATGAAGAGGCAATTGTGCGCAAAGTGTGTACATAAAGAGAACTAGTAGTAAAGCCGGTTAGAACCCACCACTGGTCCCCGAGGATCGGAAAGATTTTGCGTTGGCTTCTTTCCTGTGATTAACATCATCCTCTCTTTCGGTGTGTGTCTTTTTTGTAGCAATTTTAAAATTATTATAAATTATAAACACATAGAGTATATATTTATTATTATTTTTAATTAGGTTTTGTGCACTGTCCAGAGTTACTTTTAGGTGAGGGATGGCTTTACATCAACAAAAAGATAAGTAGATTTTCAGTTTTAACTTCCCACAGCACATTTTTAAACTATGGTAGGTGCTGCTGTCAGATATAATTATCACCAATGTACACACAACAGACATACAGACACACAGACACACACAGACACAGGATGATCAGTGACTGACGTTTCCAATTGTAATCAAAGGCGGAACACCCAAAATACTGGTTGTGTCAGGCTCCAAGTAATGCACCCATTACAAATCGAACTCTGAGGCATTGCTTTTCCTCAAAGAACAAATTTATTTAGATACATCATCATTTTGGCGCTACTGGTGGAAAGCCAGTACTAAAAGTTTCCGTGCTTTCCACCCCAATATAAGTAATAGTTTTTTTTTCATTTTCCAAAACAACCAGTCACATGGCCCAACCAAGATGAGAGCCAGTTGCCTGGTGACTTCTCTCCTCCTTCGGTCGGCCAGCCATTGAAATGCACCTGACTCATCGGTTAGCTATGATGTTAGCTATGATGAACTTCTCCTCTTTTAAATGGGAATTTTAAATTTGGTTTTAAATTATTGGGGTTTTAAATATGGTTCAGCCAAATTTATCTAACTTGTTTTATTTCTATTTTAAATTTTGTATTTATATGTTTTATTTCATGGCTGTTCACCGCCCTGAGTCCTTCGGGAGTAGGGTGGTATACAAATTTAATAAAATGAAATGAAAAATGTTTTGACTGAAGGCTCCATCCTCCTTCAGCTCCAAACAGTGTCAAATTGAATTCACATCAGAATTCCCAAGGATGTAAACAATCCCACACCCCAATCAAATTCAGGCTTGACAGGTTGTGGAGAACAATAGAAGGAAACAATCGCCCTTGTGAGGCCCATTGTGAGTTTACCAAACACATCCGGTGGCACACTGTGTGACCTAGCGGCCTTCACTTAATGCGCCACAGAACTCTTCTCATCTTCTGAAGTGGACTGTACCAAAATAAATAGAAATATTTAAGAGATGTCCAGTTATCCCAAGTCTACCAATATTGCCTAGTATGTCATGATATCTCACTGTTAGAAGAAGGGAAAGTTGGGTTTTGGATTGTAAATATGTTGTTGTTTTTCCCCCCTAAACACAGAATAAGCCAACTTTTGTTAGAAAAAGTCAGTGAGCTAAATCAATAATGTCCAAAAACTATTTGGTTTAGGACTAGAATCTCTGCCTTCTGTCTTTACCACAGTTCTTTAGTGCAGGACAGCTTCTCACACCACGCTATACATGAGACTCACAATAATATTTCAGAGACCCAACGAGTAAAGTGAGACATTTGTTAAGTGAGCTTTGCCCCATTGTACGACCTTTCTTGCCACTGTTGTTAAGTGAATCACTGCAGACATTAAGTTAGGAACAAGGTTGTTAAGTGAATCTGGCTTCCCCATTGACTTTGCTTGTCAGAAGGTTGCAAAAGGGGTTCATGTGACTCCAGGGACTCTGCAACCGTCATAAATATGAACCAGTTGCCAAGCATCTGAATTTTGATCATGTGACTATGGGGATGCTGCAATGGTCACAAGTGTGAAAAAATGGTCATAAGTCACTTTTTCCTGTGGTGTTGTAATTTCGAACGGTCACTAAATGAACTGTTGTAAGTCAAGGACTATCTGTATTCACTTGGATTGTTTTTTTTTTAAGAAAAATCATTTTCTTTTAATGACCCCATAATCCCTTGCAGGGTGGAGTCTGGGCAACTGAATGGAGCTGAGGGTTTATTGACCGGATGCCCTTCCTGTCACCAATGCTGAGGGTTTTTTCAGCAGATATATTCTCATTTGTGCTTTTTTTTTTTTTTTAAAAAAATCTAGATAATATGTAATGTTGTAATCATAGAAAGTTTGAAGACACTATGGAAAGAAAGAATAAATCTTAAAATGGCAAAATGGGGTGCCTATTAAATAAATGGAAAATCATCATTTTAACCTTGTTTGAATATTTTAATGTCATTTGCATTAAGTTGAATATAATATAGAGGTGTTGTTTAATCTTCCCAGGCTTGTTTCTCGGAATGTTCTGGAACATGGCTTCCATATTCAGTCTGAGGGAAAAAAAGAGTGGGATGTCACTGTTTTAAATTCTGGCTTTCCCTACAAACCTGACCACAATTATGAAGAATTTCTCCGCCTTCTGAACCGTGAAGGT